GCGCCGGAGCATGTTGCCATTCCCCGTTTTCTTGACACACTGATTCCAGCGCCGTAGCTGACAACGTTGCGCTCCAACTCAATCTCAGACACCCGCTGGGCAGCGACAGCGCGAGTTGCCATTGCCCACCCCTGGCGCACGCGCTGCCCCCAGCGCTGTAGCTCACAACGCCCAGCTCGCACCCCGCACCTCGTGCTCGAGGCCTCTGCCTATTTGATGGTTGGTATCTCCGATTGCTGGTCCTCCAGGGACGCAGCAAACCGCCACTGTGCAGTGAGACAAGACGGCGGGGGTCGCAGCTGATCGCCGCAAGAGTCCGCATTGACGGAGGGGTGATGTGAAGAAGCAGTGTGCTATGCCACTTCCAGCCTCCACTCGTGCCGCGCTGAGTGCTGACCCGCGCTGTAGCTGCCGGCGTCTGGCTCGAATTTTGCCCACGTTCGCCGAGGAGCGACAGTGCCTGCACCCACTGCCCGACCTTCCCACGCGCGCTGATCTCGGGAATGTAGCTGCAGCGTCTGTCTGCAGCGTCGCCTTCCACCCTGATCCCACTGCTGTAACTGATCACGTTGGGCTCCAATGCCGCCTGCCGCATTTTGCTGGGCAGCGACAGGGCCTGCTGCAGTGCCCACCCTTCTCGCACCTGCCCCGGCGCTGCAACTGGTGACAGCGGGCTCCAACTTAGCTCCCCCCATTCCGGCAATAGCGCCGGAGCATGTTGCCATTCCCCGTTTTCTTGACACACTGATTCCAGCATCGTAGCTGACAACGTTGCGCTCCAACCCAACCTCTGACACCCACTGAGCAGCGACAGTGCGAGTTGCCATTGCTCGCCCCTGGCGCATGCGCTGCTCCCAGCGGCGTAGCTCACAACGTCCAGCTCGCACCTCGCACCTCCCGCCCGAAGCCTCTGCAGCTCCCCGCCGGGACCCAGGACGCGGCAGCGCCGTGCGCGAACGGGGAGTGGACGGGGGGCGGCGCGCCCCGGGTGGAGAGAAGACGGAGCGCGCACGGGGGGGGGGGCGAGCGACGGCCCTAGGCCGCCAGCACCAGGATGCCAGAGTACCTCGCGAGCCCCCGAGGAAGGCCCCGGGCCCGTAGCCTCGGCAGCCCCCCGCGTGCATACAGGGTCCGCTGTGGTCCTCCTGGGTCGCCGCTAACCGCCGCTGATGTTTGTGAGCCTGTAGAGTGACCAACTCGGGGGTCGCAGCTGATCGCCGCTATTATCTCTCTCTCATTTCGTACCGGGATGCAAGAGTAACCTGAGCCCCCGCGGGGTGCCTCGTGCACGTAGTCTCTGCTACTCCCCGCGTGGAGCCCCTTGAGCTCCCGCGGGATGTCACGTGCTCGAAGCCTCTGCAATCCCCGCCTGCATCCAGAGTGACAGCCGCCCTGGGCTGAGCGAAGACGGAGCGCGCACGGGGGGAGGCGAGCGCCGGCCCATGGCGGACAGCACCGGGCTGCCAGAGTAAAGTGAGCTACCGCGGAATCCCCGGGCCCGCGGCCCCTGCTGCCCCACGCGCGCATCCAGGGTCGCGGCTGGTCGACCTCCGCTGAGAGGAAGGCGGTGGCACCGGACGTTCGGTCATTCGCCCACAGCTGGCGTGACTCCGGGAGGGCAATCTGCAGCCAGCGGACTGACTCACTGAAGGCGGTGCTGCCACCTCGAAGGCCGACGCATCCGCGGGGGCGCGTGGTGGCACACCCGGGGGCGCCGCTGACCGCCGCTGAAGTGTGGGGGGGGGCGCGCAGCCAATGGACTGACACGCCGGGGGCGGCGCTGCCGCCTCGAAGCCGACGCCCCCGCGGGGGGGATGCGGCGGCACCTCCAAGGCGCCGCAGGCCGCTGCTGAAGAATGAGAAGGAGGCGCCGTGCCCGCAGTCTCAGCAGCCCCACGCGTGGACCCAGGGTCGCGCACAACCGCCGCTCAGGGTGAGGCTCGCCGCCGCACTGGGCAAAGTGAGGACGGATGGGGGGCGACGGGACGGGCGCCCAGGGACATGGCTGCTGGACAGGAGCCCGCGGGGCCCTTCACAGCCAGCGCGGTGCCACGACGTGGGGCCGCAACGGCTATTGTGGGGAGACGACCAGCCACTGCTTTGTGCCCTTCTTGGGTGCGCGGGTGTCCGGGCGCCCCTTTGCCGCATGGTGACCCCTGCCCTGGCCGCCGCTTCGACCCGGGCGCCGAAGCCGCAGCCGAGCCCAGTCGACGCCACGGCCCAGCGCGTCGCTAACGGCCCGTACGTCGCACTTGTGGCTGCGGAAGGACTCCAGGAAGCGGAAGCAGGTTTGCGGGTCGCGCCGAAGTGGGTCGAGCGCGCCTTTGCTGCCAGGCACGGCCTGCTGCTTGGCGAAGATGCGCCGGGCGCCTGCGAACATTGTTCCCAGGGTGGCTTGGAGTCGCCTCATCGCATCGCTGGGGGTCTCCCCGGGAAGGCCCCGCTGGATGGCGTCGATCTTTGCTTTGTACAGCTGCTGTCCCGTGTCGGGGTCTGAGGGCTCAGGCCACTGGCGCGGCTCTGGCCATCGTCGCCGCCGCACGTTCTGGCCGCAGGTCTCCGGCGAACCGGCCCCGCTGTCTTGGACAGAGGGCTCGCAGTCTGTTCGCGACAGTTCCGGCTGCACGCCTGGCGGGGCCCCGTGGGGAGATGCGGGCCGCATGGTTGGCCGCCAGGCAGGAGCCGGATCGCCTCCGGCAGCCCGGGCGGGCGCTGCCCTGGGGTGTGCGGGGAGAGGCCCCTTTCGCTGGCGCTCGCCTTCGGGCCTGTGCCCGCCGTCGCTCACGGGCGCGCCCCCTTCGGTCGACGCGAGACTCTCGCTGGTCTCGGGGGCGCCGCTGGTCGCGCCAGGCGCGCGCACGCACGGCGACGCCGCTTCCGCTGCCAGAGCACAAAGTTCTTTGTCAGGCGTGCCCTGGGCGTCCGGAGGGAACGCCTGAGGTTCGCCGTCCGCTAGAGCGGGTACACTGGCAAGGGAATTGGGCGAATCGGCGCGAAGGGGTTTCTCCCGACGAGCCAGCGGATGGCTTCGATGTCCTGCGTCTGAACGGCTGGTCCGCGGCCCCCCTGTTGGGTCTGCGGCGTTCCCGGAGGACTGCGGACGGTCCGCCTATTTTGTGGGGAAGGCGGGGGCGGCACGGTGTGGCAGGCGAGCCCCTGCTGGTCCAGGATCCCGCCTCGCGGACCGCTGCAGCTGTCGCCCGCGCTTTCGGGGGCCAAACCCTGTCTACCCGGTTCTGCTTCAGGGGCGCGGGTGACGGTTTGTGCCTCTTCCGCCCCTTCAAATGCCTCCGCCGCTTCAGGCCCCCGATACTCCGCGGCCACCGCCGCTTCCGCCCATTCCGCCGCGGCCCCCCCCTTCTTTTCCCTGCCATGCTGCTGCTGCTGAGGGAGCAAGGGCACCTCCTTGTGACCTCCGGAGGGGGTGTCTTGAGGTGTCGTGGGGCCCTCGTCACCAGGGGTGCCGCTGACGGCCGTCTGATCTGTTGTGGGTCTCTGTTCGCCAGGGTTGCCGCTGGCTGCCGCAAGAGCGCTCGACGAATCTTCGCCTGCGTCTTCCTGCCCAGTCTCCGGAGCGGTTGTGGGTCTCTGTTCGCCAGGTTTGCCGCTGGCTGCCGCAAGAGTGATTGAAGACTCTTCGCCAGCGTCTTCTTGCCCAGTCTGTTGGCCGTCAGGGGGGCCCGGAAGGGCGTCAGGGAGCGGGGGTACCTCCTTCCGCCCCGTTCCGTTCCCTTCCCGTGTGTTCTTCCGCTGCTGCAGCACCTGTAGCTGCCGCTGCGGCTGTGGTTTGGGGGGGGGCTGCCGCTGTTGCTGCCGCTGCTGCGGCTGCTGCTGCTGCTGCAGCTACTGGGTTATGCTGCTGCTGTTGATGCTGCGGATGTTGCTGCTGCCGCTGCCCTGCTGCTGCGGCTGCTGCTGTTGCTGCTGTCGCGGCTGCAGTTGCAGCAGCTGCGGCTGCGGCTGCAGGTACTGTTGCTGCGGCTGCTGCTGCTGCCGCTGCTGCTGCGGCTGCTGTTGCTGCTGCTGTCGCTGCTGCCGCTGCTGCTGCTCCTGCAGGTGCAGCTCCTGCTGCTGCTGCGCGGCCGCGGCGGCCGCGGCGGCGCCAGCTGCGGCGGGCCCAAGGGCGGCCGCGCGGGCCACGGCGGCGGCGGCGGCAGCCGCGGCGCCGGCGGCCGCAGGGACGGCGGCGGCGGTGGCGCCGGCCGCCCAGCCCGGGCGCCGCCGCCCGAGGCGCCCGCGGCCCCGCCGGCCGCCAAGCCCGCGGCGCCGGCCCCAGCGGCGCCCACGGCGCCGGCGGCGCCAGCGGCGCCGACCCCAGCGGCGCCCGCGGCGCCAGCGGCACCAGCGGCGCCGGCGGCGCCCGCAGCGGCGCGCTGGCGGCGGCGGCGGGCGGCGGGCGACTCGAATGGCGTCGCCTGCCCGCCGGGTGACCAATGCCACCCTCGCCAGGCAGCGTCCTGCGGCAGTGCCCCGCCGCGGCCGCCGCCTCCATGCCAGTGAGCTGCCGCGGCAGCCGCACCCGCCCACGGGTCGGTCGCCTGCAGCGGGCCCGCGGCGCGCCAGCGGCGACTGTGCCACGCCACAGCGGCCGACGCGGCCGCCGCGGCCGCCGCGAGAGCGCCCTGCTGCTCTGGACTCGAGCCAGAGCGGTTTGAGCCAGGCTACGGCGCTGGTGGGGATACGCGAAGCGTCAAGAATTCCCACAAAACCGTGGATCCGAGCACTTCTAAATAATCCTGGTTCCCAGATCCTCGATCCTCCTCGAGAAGGAGGAAAAACCGATCCTCGACACCCTCATCGATCCTCCTCATCCTCCGCCTCCTCCTCCTCCTCCTATCCTCCTCCTCCTCCTCCTCCTCCTCCTCCTCCTCCTCCTCCTCCTCCTCCTCCTCCTGTTTGCTCCTCGATCCTCCCCGAAGGAATGTCGGCGAGAGCCGCTCCGCAGCCGCGCAGGGCCTGCCCATCCACCCCCTTCACAGCGAGGGCGGCGGCGTGGGGGCCTTAAAGCGCATCAGGGACTGCCGCATCTCTTCCACCTCGAGCACAAGGACACCTCCTCCTCCTCCTCCTCCGCCTCCACCTCCTCCACCTCCTCCTCCTCTCCTCCTCCTCCTCCTCCCTCCTCCGCCTCCTCCTCCTCCTCCTCCTCTTCCTCCTCCTCCTTGCCCCCTCATCCCTCCTCCCTGCCTTTCTTTTTCCTCCTCCTCCTCCTCCTCCTCCTCCTCCACCCCCACCTCCTCCTCCCCCTGCGCCTCCTCCTCCTGGCGCGCGTGCATTCCGCGCAATTTTCTGCACATGTTTCTGGCCTTCGTTTTCAATCCAATGTGTGCCGATGCGCCGTCCAGGCTGTCCAGCTGGCGACATCGCAAGTGTGAGGGTGGTGCGAACATGCCGTCGGGAGTTTGCCACCCTCTGCGACCGGTCGCCCGCCCATGTCCTCTCTGACACCGAAGGATTTGGACAATGCAGAAACGTTCACACGCAGGCCGTGAGGTACTTGGCGTAGCGTGCTCCGTTCCTCAAGCCTTGCACCACCCAACCTGATGCGTGGAAGATCCCGGAACATTAATCAATCTGCGACGACATCTTCGGAGGCAAGCGATGACGAAGTGCCAAGTGTAATATTCGCAGGTGGGTGACCTTTTTTGATGGCACATGCCGCTAATAGAGATCCCCGCTCGATACCGTCAGAAAACTGCCGCACATCAAGGAGCCCGTATCCATGAGCTATGTGCAGGCGGGGCTGAAACTCGTCCGGCAGTGCCCGCATGTACGCCTCCTTCCAGGCGCTGTTCTTTGCCACTGCCGCATCCCGGCAGTCTTGTTGGAACGCCGACCATTTGTTGTCAGCGCCTCCTTCGCTACAGTGGAGGCCCATGTCAAGAAATACCCTGCTTGCCTCCAGGGTGCCCTGGGTGCTTTGGGTTTCGATGGTTTTGTTATGGAAAGCGTGACGCTCCCACGCCAATCATCGATGGACGTCCTGGGGTCTCAGGGTTTGGTTTATTTTGGAAGGTTTCTTGTGGAAAGACCCGTAGTGTATCGACCGCGCGCGGCACAGGGTGGCACGAGGGCCGATGACCCGGTCGCGCCCGAGTTCTGGGCGAGTTCTGCGCGGCCGATCGTGCGCAGCACCTGCCGCGGCCAGGGGGGCGCTGTGCGTTCTTTGGGAAAGGAATGCACCAGGACGCGCTTTCCCGTCCAGTGGGGCAAAACACTCCTGGAATCGCGTTGCCAGGGGACAACACCCCAACTCGAAAGTTGGTCCCGCTTATTGCCTTGACGAGCGTCTCCCCGTCTCCGCCCTCTGTTCGCCCTAGTGCACTTTGAGTCCGTGGTCTGTGAAAAAGTTGCTTCGCCGAACGCAGGCGCCATCGCAAAAGCTGCTGCTCGGTTTCTTCTGCGGGGTTGAGGGCCATTCCGACCGTGCGCTCCACATGTCGAGATATGTCGCCCCAGACGCCCTTCTGTGCCTCTCCTACAGATCCCTTGCGTGCTGGAAGGCCCAAGGGGGAAATTACGTACACAAAGGCAGATTTGTACGGAATTTGCCCCCTCCCCCTTTTCCATGCATCTCTGTAGTTTTGCGCCGCCCCTTCTAAGGCCCTGAGAAGGGCCATGGGCACCTACGAAGCAATCTGCATCACTTGCGCGAAGCCTCTCCCGCGCACCTGAGCAACCCTTCCGGCTGTCGTCTCCGAGGATGGCCGAAACCAAGCCGGGAACCATTTGACTCAAAGGATCGGTTTCTGCCATCCTCAAGACTGTAAGGATGAGACCTCCTAGAGCCTTTGCAACTCCCTTTCTGCATGGGCATGCTGCTTTGGGCAGCGTGTGGGCGGGAAACCGCAATCACCCTGACCAGGGTTCTGACGGTCGCCTCATCCTCAAAGATGGGTTCTAGGTGCCCTCAAAGCCTATAGCGTACCTGGCAGTCCTCCTGCTGCTCCTCCTCCTCCTGCTTCTCCTCCTCCTCCTCATCCTCCTCCTCCTCCTCCTCCTCCTCCTCCTCTCCTCCTCATCATCATCATCATCATCATCATCAGCATCATCATCATCATCATCATCATCATCATCATCATCATCATGCTACTCCTACTCCCCTCCTCCTCCTCCTCCTCCTCCTCCTCCTCCTCCTCCTCCCCCTCCCTCCCTCCCTCCCTCCCTCCCTCCCTCCTTCATCATCCAACATCAGCCTCTTCAACCCCCATCTCTCTATAACTCCTCGTCGCACCTCCAGGCGTGTCGGTATAAGGGGTTGGGCGCTTCACATGCTCTCCTAAGCGAGTGCAGCAGGAATGTTTGAAGCATCCAACAGCTACACACAAAATGCGAATCGGTTTCAATGTGGGGCTGCCGTCTCACTATGTTGCACGATGTAATCGACGAGTGGCGTCCAAGTGTTGGCTCTCGTGTAAGCGATGCGCACACGTTTGCCTGTAAAGCTCCTGGCAGCGACGTGGATGAAAAACCATTCGTGTTCAAGAAGAGTGTTTAGTTGAAACTTCCTCCGATCGTGCGACCGTACGTAAACTCATGTTTGAGCACCAGCAGCATGGATGTATAGAGGCTCGTTTTCAAAGTTGAGCTCTCGCTGAAGATTACCTCAAACTGCAAAACGAAAAGGCGACGGCTGTGCGACAGCTCTACGAATGGAAAGCGGCTCCTCAGCAAAACTGGGCTCTCGCGGAAGAAGCCCATGTGTAGCATACATACTGGCGCGCCGTGAGCTAAAAAGGATGGGAGGCGGTTCCCTCTTGCACCAGGGTCTCGCCAGAAGTGGAGGCCCATTGGGCACTACTTTTTTTCAAGGACGCATTGCCCGCAATGAAAAGACATGTGCCAGAACTCATGTGAAGATGAACGTCGCACGGAAAAGCGCAGTGCAGCCCCGTTGATGCATGCCGGGTCTACTCTGGTCCTCCTCGTCTTCCTCCCTCCTCCTCCACGTCCTCCTCAGCATCCCCTCCGCCCGTCCGTTTCCTCACCCGTCCCATTGATGTCCTCTCGTCGTCCTACCCCATCCTGCCCCACCTCCTCCCCGTTTCCCTCCACCTCCTGCCCCTCCACCTCCTCCCCGTCCTTTCTCCCGTCTCCACATCATGATTCACAACACAAAACTCATCCAGAAGACTCGGCGATTCGCAAATCGATGAACAGTTTCAGGCGGGCCCAAAAGATCAGCCCATTTGCCAGCATCGCCATGGTGTTCGCATTATTGGTCGTACAGCTGTTGCTACGCGTCACAACCACGATTATCATCACCACCATCATCATCATCATCATCATCATCATCATCATCATCATCATCATCATCATCATCAGCATCATCATCGTCATCATCATCAGTATCAGCAGCAGCAGCATCATCAGCATCATCTTCAACATCATCATGATCATCATCAGCATCAGCATCGGCATCCTCTTCATCGTCGGCATCGTCGTCACCACCTGCACCGTCATCATCAGCATCATCAGAATCATCCTCCTTCTCATCATCAAAGTCAATATCAACATCAGCATTGGCATCATCATCACCATCATCATCAACATCATCATCATCATCAACATCATTATAGGACTCATCAACGACATCAATCACCACTACCGTCACAATCACGGTCATCATCATGATCATCATCATCATCATCATCATCATCAACATCAGTATCAGTATCATCATCATCATCATCATCATCATCATCATCAGCATCATCATCATCGTTGTCAACATCCGCATCCGCATCATCCTCATCCTCAACCTCATCCTCGTCATCATCATCATGATCAGCATAATCATCATCATCAGCATCATAATCATCACCATCATCACCATCATCCATCATCATCAATCATCATCATTCATCATCATCACCATCACCACCACCACCACCATCATCATCATCATCATCATCATCATCATCCTCATCATCAGCATCAGCAGCATCAGCATCGTCATCATCATCATCATCATCATCATCATCATCATCATCTACAGCACCATCCAGCATCATCAGCGTCAGCAGCATCAGCACAATCATCATCATCATCATCATCAGCAGCATCAGCATCATCCGCATCCGCATCATCATCATCATCCTCATCAGCATTATCACAAGCAGCATAATCATCATCAGCATCATCAGTAGCATCACCAATATCAGGATTATCATCATAAGAATCTGCATCATCAACATACCCATCGTCATCAGTATAAGATTCATCAACATCATCAGCATCATCATCGACAACATCAATACCAGCAGCGTCATCATCATCAGCATCACCAGCATCACCATCAGACTCATCGTCATCGTCATCATCCTCAATAACATAATCATCATTATCACCACTATCATCATTACCACCATCATCAGCAGCAGTTTCATCATCAACATCATCAGCATTATAATCATCGTCATCATCGTCATCGTCTTCGTCATCACCATCACAATCACCGTTGTCATCATCTTCAGCAGCATCATCATCGTCCTCATCATCATAATCAGCATCAGCATCACCGTTATCCCCAACGTCATCGTCATCGTCATCGTCATCATCAACGTCGTCGCCACCATCACCGCTACTGTCGTGTTGGGCCTCCTTCTGTTCCGCCTCCTCCTCCTCCGCCTCCTCCTCCTCCCAACGGCGACGGCGGCTGGCCTGGCCCTCCATGATGGCGATCATGGCTGGAGACAGGGCGGGCGCCGCGCGCTGCCTCACGGTGCCGCAGGGAGCACAGAAGAGCAAGGTTATATAGGTCGGGCATGTCCTCCTACAGGCGGAGTTTGGAAGAGAAATAAAAAAGAGTCCACCAAAAATCAAGATTACTAAAAAGAGCACGACAAATCGTCACCAGACTACATGTCTACTATTCTTGAATGTTCCCACTGTGGAGGGACATGCCCGACGTAAAGGTAGGGGAGAGCTGTAGCTTCTGCTCCTCGTCCTCCACCAGCACCGCGTCCTGCCTCCGAGACCTCTGAGAAACTTACTCGAATTACTCATCCTAGTCTGGGCCTCGGGCACGAGGGGGAGGAGGATGGAAGGAGTAGGAGGTCTCCTTTTGCCCTGAGGAGAATACTTCTGGAAGGCATACGTGGGCGAAGTGGTGCCAGAGTAAGCTGGATAAGGCTTAAGTCGGGCTTGTCCCCCTAAAGGCGGATTTTGGACCAAGAATGAAAAAAATATTCGGAAAATGCAGAAGGTAGTCAAAAAAAAATAAAAAATAGTCCCAAGACTATTGTTTGACTAGTTTTGAATATTCCACCGATACAGGGACACGCCCGACTTAAGACAAGGAGCCATTGGGCCAGAGTAATTCAGGTCCCACCTACAGTCAACCTGCCAAATTCGCACGAACGGAATACCAGGGCCGATACTGAGTTGAACATCCCATGAGTCGCAACCCAGCGCCCCGGACCTGTAGAATCGGGAGATCTCGTTTGCCGGCAACTTGCGAGCATCCTGTACCGACCCCCTCGAACTGAAGATGCCCACTTTGGCATGGCTCCTCTTGTCTGGGGACGCACGAGAAAAAGGCGCTCACCCTGACGGCTTCCGCAACGAGCCATCGAATGATGACTCTCGGCCAACAGCGATAAACAACACCCCACACCCTCAGGGACGCGTTGCTCTGAGGGGAGACCCTTGCCGCATCACCACCTGCAACGACAGGCTCCCTGGGAAGTACGCGGTGGACGCGCGCATCACGGCGCCCCCCGCCTCCGCGACCAAGGCACCGAGTGGAGCGCAGGACGGCGGAGCCCACTTGCTGCGCGGGCGTGATGCCATCAGGTACGACTCCGTCATGGTGCAGCTCCCTTCCACACACTCGCGCTAAGACGGTCTCAAAGTTCAGCGCGCAGCAGCTTGGCCAGCGCCGGCCAGCGCAAAACTACCGGCGCAGAAAGCTGCGGAGAGGCTTCGGCTCATGACCTCTAGTTTGCTAACAACTTACAGACATACTTGAAGGGGCCCGGGGACAAACAAATAAATACACACAAATCAAGAGTTTCCTCATATTTTCCCATATTTTCTGGGTTTCTGTCTTCCCCCCGCTGCCCATATTTTCCCATATTTTCCTGGGGATCGTCGATTAATTGTGTCTGTGTGTTTTTGTCCCTCCTGACTCTGGTTTGCGAACAACTTGCAAACACGCTGTACAAACGAGCATGTTCACTTTGGTAAGGTACATCTTGCCTGGTGGCGCCTGCCTGCAAGGCGCCCCGATGACCTTCTGACGGCACTTGGCCGAAAAACGAGGAGTGCACGAGGGACACACGACAGCAGAGCCGAGCTTGAAGCTCTGCCGATATTCCCAGCCTCTGAGGGCCGTCTCTGGAGCCCACGGATGGTCCAACAACATGGAGTGAAAACCATCCCTCTGGTGAGGCGCGAGAGTTCCAGGGATCCCCACAGCTCCAAACAATACGAAAAAGCCTGGGTTCCCCTCCTAGTCCCCCTCCTCCACCCCACCCCCTCAAACCCCGCCTGCTCCTGCGAGAGAACGACGAGTGGAAGTGGAGGAGACGAGGCATGGATGAGGATGGAGTGGGACGAGGAAAGAGGGAGACAAGCAGGAGGGAGGAAGGAGCAAGGAGGGAGGAAACACACAGGACGGAGGAAGATGTGAGGGACGAGGAGGAGGCGAAGGACTATCCATCCCTTCCTCGTTCCCCCCCTCGGCACGGAGGCACGGATGGGCACGTAAGCCATGAGCAGAAGCGGCGAGCCACAGAGGCGGAGAGGGAGGCGGAGGGGGGCGGGGGGGGGGGGGGGGGGGAAACGCGAGCGAGAGCCAGCAGGTGGGCGAGGATGGGGCCGGCGAGCGGAGCAAAGGAGAGAGGTGAGGGAGACGGGGAGGGGGCGAGGATCAAGCTAGGTGCGCTCGCGTCATATCTGACGTCCTACCCCTCCCTCCCATCCCTTACCATGGCGCTGATTTTCTCTATCCGCGGACGCGTGTCGTAGCGGACCTGTGGCTCCGCGCGCGCGTGCGTAGTGGGTGGTGGTGCACGTGCGTGCGTGCGTGCGTGTGTGTGCGTGGTTGTGGTGGTGGTGGTGGTGGTGGTGGTGGTGGTGGTGGTGGTGGTGGTGGTGGTGGTGGTGGTGGTGGTGGTGGCTGGTGCTGGTGCTGGTGCTGGTGGTGGTGGTGGTGGTGGTGGTGGTGGTGGTGGTGGTGGTGGTGGTGGTGGTGTGGTGGTGGTGGTGGTGGTGGTGGTGGTGGTGGTGGTGGTGGTGGTGGTGGTGGTGGTGGTGGTGGTGGTGGTGGTGGTGGTGGTGGTGGTGCGGCGCGGTGGTGGCGGGCGGATGGGCGCGCGAGAAAGAGGCCCGCGCTGGGGCGAGAACGCCATCCTGAACGACGGAGGCCAAACACCGATCCGAAAATGAGGCCCACGCTGCAGCGGGAGCACGATTCGGAACGATTCGGGAGCAGAAATGAGGCCGGCGCCTCAGCGAGAGCATCATAAAAAAACGCAGGCGAAAACCCGTTTCCCGGGAATCTTGTGTGTAAAAAAACAGTACGCGGGGGGCGTTCGGCCCGAAAATGACGCCGGCGCCTCAGCGAGAGTCGTTTCCCGGGATTTCCCGGGCATCCTGTGTAAAAAACAGTGCGCGGAGAATGCGCGGCCATCACCCGGACGCCATCAGGGGAAGAGGGAGATTATTTTCATATTGAGTAATTGTAGAGGGAGGAGGGGCGAGGGACGAAGGACACCAGAGAGGAGGGAGAGAGAGAGAGAGAGAGAAACCAGCAGAAAAAAGAGCTGGAGAGATGGAGGGGAAGAGGTCGAGAGGTGGAGAGGTGAAGGGAGAGGGAGAGAACGAGGACATGAGGATGCGAGCTGTACACATGCACCGACCCTGGCCATGCCCAGCCTGAGCCCAGGATCGGTGGCATGCGCCCCCCTGGCGCGGCCAGGATGGCATCCTGCACCGAGAATGCATGGACACAAAGACGGCGCAGCATGCCTGGGCCCAGCCGGTGCCGAAGCCAGGTGCACACAAAGCCTGCCGCCCACGAGGGGAGAGCCGGACGACGACGAACCGTCCCCCCCCGACCACTTCGATGCTCGCGGATCTGCGGACCCCGGTCGCTCCGGACCCGGGCCGGCCAGGGCTCTGCAGGATCCAATCCTGCACCCTGCAGGCCCTGGCAAGTGCCCCCTCCGGCCCTGCAGGGCCCCGCGGGGCCCGGCGCCCCGACGGGCCCCCGCTGCTGCGGCACGGGCCCCCGCCCCGCGAGCCCCGAGGGTGCACGCTCCCACGGCGTGCCCGCACGGGCGGAGGCAGGCGCCGCCGTCGCCGCCGTCGGGGAGACCATGTTCTTAGGTGCCGCTGCCGCTGCTCCCCGGACCTCTCCCGGGGCGCCTTCTGACCAGGACTTCGGGGCGACTCCCGCGGTGGCGACGGCGCAGGCCCAGGAGGCCCAGAGAGGGGAAGGTGAGGGCAGGGCAGAGGCATGGGTGCCTCCTCCTCCTCCTCCGAGTCTTGGTGCACTGACTCCCGTCCCTTGAAGCCCCGAGACGCACGCTTCTGCGGCGTGCGGGCACGTGCGGAGGCGGGCGCCGTCGTCGTCGCCGTCGCCGCCCTCCGACGAGGAGGAGCGCCCGCGAGAGCGGCAGAGGGCGAGCGCCGGCCTCTCCGGCGCCGCGTCCATGCCTGCCGCCCCTCGGAGGGGATGCCGCGGGCAGGCTCGCGGGCAGGCGCGCGGGCAGGCGCGCGGGCAGGCGCGCGGGCAGGCGCGCGGGCAGGCGCGGCCAGCGCCAGCAGGGCGACCCGCGGTGATGGGCCAATTTCCACCACGACTACCATGCGTGGGAAGGACGGGTAAGAAGGGAGGATGGGAAGGTCCTCCTCCTCCTCCTCCTCCTCCTCCTCCTCCTCCTCCTCCTCCTGCTCCTCCTCCTGCTCCTCCTCCTCCTTCTCCTCCGCCTCCGCCTCCTCCGCCTCCTCCGCCTCCTCCGCCTCCTCCTTCCTCCTCCTTCCTCTGCTACCTATAGTAGTGGTGGTGGAAAATCGGCCCATCAGAGGAAGCAGCGCGGACCGCAGGCGCCGCAGGGCACCGCAGCAGGCCCCCCGCGCCGGCGCCCGAGCCGCCGCAGCGCCCGTGGAGGAGGCCGCGCGGGGGGCCTCTGTCGGCGGTCGTTCGGTGGCAACTCATGGGAGCCTCCAATACCATCTCGTCGGCTCTTGCGAACCGACGCTGCTCGACGCCAAATAGACGCCAATCGACGCTAGTTAGTCGACGCTACATCGACGCCAATCGACGCCAGATCAGCGCTACCTCCTCGAATCCCAGACTCTACTCGACGCTGCTCGGCGCTGAAGACGGAAGTAAGAGGGTATACCAGGCTCCCATGACTTGCTACCGAAGATCTCTGCTGTGGGCGGTCGGCTCCGCGGGCGGGCTTGAGCAGCGGGTCCCCGCGCCGGGCTGTCCGTCTCTCTCTCTCTCTCTCTCTCTCTCTCTCTCTTTCCCTCTTTCTCTTTCTCTTTCTGCCGCGTGCTGCCGCCCGCTCCTCCTGCTCCTGCTCCTGCTCCTGCTCCTGCTCCTGCTCCTGCTCCTGCTCCTGCTCCTGCTCCTGCTCCTGCTCCTGCTCCTCCTCCT